TTGAAATTCTGTCAGACAATCTGCACAGATGTGGACTTTCTGGAATTTTAAATAATTTCTTGTACAATTTGTTGTCAGAAAAGCAAATGAACTTTTCCCTTGGACAACTGACAACTTCCAGAATTAGCTACATGGGCCTACCCCAAGGCTCATGTCTCAGCCCTCTTCTTTATAACTTTTATGTCAAAGATATCGACAACTGTTTGGCAGAACAATGCACGCTAAGACAACTTGCAGATGACGGTGTGGTTTCCGTAAGAGGTCCACATGCCGTGGACTTGCAAGGACCATTGCAAAATTCCTTAGATAACTTGTCTTCTTGGGCTATGAATCTAGGGATCGAATTCTCGCCGCAGAAAACTGAACTGGTAGTGTTTACTCGAAAGCGGTACCCAGCCCAAATGCAGCTTAATCTTTTGGGCAGAAACATTACCCAATCATTGTCTTTCAAGTACCTTGGGGTCTGGTTTGATTCAAAGTGCACTTGGAATGCTCATATTACGTATTTGAAGCAAAAATGTCAGCAGAGGATCAACTTTCTCCGTTCAATTTGCGGCACATGGTGGGGTGCTCATCCGCTTTATAAAACAACTATTCTCTCTGTTCTAGAGTACGGCTCTTTCTGCTTTCTCTCGGCAAGAAAAAGTCACCTAATAAAATTGGAACGAATTCAATATCGTTGTCTGCGTATTGCTCTAGGCTGTATGCACTCAACGCATAACATGAGTCTCGAGGTTCTGGCAGGAGTAACACCCCTCCAGAACCGTTTCTGGGAGCTCTCTCTCAGAATACTAATCAAATGCGGAGTGACGAACACACTTATAATTGCAAATTTTGAAGAAATTCTTGGGCTGAACACACAATCTCGATTTATGAGAATCTACCACCACTACATATCATCAGATATGTGTCTTCCTTGTTATACTCCAGACCGTGTTCACTTCACCAATCGCAGTTCCTCAATTGAATATGATCTGACCATGAAACAAGCAACTCATGGGATTCCCGATCAACTTCGACCTATTATTATTCCGCGTATTTTTACTGAAAAGTACCAACAAGTCAATTGCATGAAAAGATATTTTACAGACGGGTCTCGTCTCAGTGGATCCACTGGCTTCGGTGTCTTCAATGAAAACTCTAGCGCCTTCCGCAAACTTCAGGAACCTTGTTCCGTTTTTGTTGCTGAGCTGGCAGCAATCAACTTCGCATTGGGGATGATTTCCAACATGCCCGCAGACCATTACTTCATCTTCACGGATAGTCTCAGTTCGATTGAGGCTATTCGGTCGATGAAACAAGGTAGGCACTCATCTTATTTCCTTTCAAAGGTAAGGGAGCAGATGTGTGTGCTGGTCGAAAGATCATATATGATTACCTTTGTATGGGTCCCCTCACATTGCTCAATCCCAGGCAATGAGAAGGCGGACTCTCTCGCAAAGGTGGGCACGCAGGAAGGCGAATTTTATGACAGGCAAATTTCACACGATGAATTTTACCATTTAGTGCGTCAGAGTACCTTTTCGAGTTGGCAAACCGATTGGGACACTGGAAATCTTGGACGGTGGTTACATTCAATTATTCCTAATGTTTCTTCGAGAGCGTGGTTTAAAGGCTTGGACTTAAGTCGTGACTTCATTCGCGTGATGAGTAGACTTATGTCCAACCACTACTCGCTAGATGCTCATCTCAATAGAATAAACCTCGTGGACAGCAACATCTGTCGGTGTGGAAACGGTTACGATGACATCGAACACGCAGTTTGGCAATGTACGGATAATGACGCCGCCAGAGAGCGACTTTTGAATACCCTCGAGGCCCAAGGAAGACAACCCTATGTTCCTATCAGAGACGTGTTGGCAACCCGTGATCTCTGCTATATGCAGTCCGTTTATGTTTTTCTTCAAATGTCTAGTATAAGAATTTAATTCCTTTTGTCTTTTGTTTCTCTTTATTAGTTTTTGTTTGTCTTGTCCCCCCGTCTCGATGAGTCTCATCGTCGCCCACTGGTCACCCACCATAGCCGGTCGAACTCCGGACGAAGCTAGAACAGCACTACCGTTCATACTGGCGACAACGCTCTGATGAGACAACGAAACCCTACCCCAAGCTCCTCCCCTGATCCTATCCTTCGAAAATGTACCCTTCTAACCTCGAGTAAGCCGCGAGTAATCGGCCCAACTCCTACTAGACATAGAATTAAGTGAATTTTGTTACACACAGTGAACAATGAATTATCGTCTCCGTAAAGCTAACGCGATTGAGCCTTCCAAATAAACGAACTAGATAAAAAAAAATGTTATAACTCTCCAGTCTGTACAGCGTTTTACACATTAAGATTATTTTACTGAAATCTGTGATCTGTGAAATTTTTACCGAAATCTCATCAGCTGAACGTTTGGTGATTTTTCACAGTTTTCCTGTAAATTTTCACAGATATTCGGTAAAAAATTACAAGAAAACTGTGAAAAATTACCAAACTGTTTACCGAGCTTTCAGCTGTTGAACTTTGGGTATACACAGATTTCGCCATCATGTTGTCAAAGAGGGGTTTTAAATGGGGCAGTTTGCGTTAGTGGCACTTGAGTCGAAAAGGAATCTTTACACTAGTTTTTCCATAAATTTTATTCGAGCCTCAATGTCTGTTCTCTGTGCTGTAGCAAAAAAATCTATATCATATATGTTTTTCACGATTTGATTGTCTCAATAATCCAAATGGTAATTGTCTTCCCCCGGCTTCCCCCATAATAAAAAAAAATCTTGAGGAACAAAGTTAGGTTAGGTTACTTTATTGAAGAGACTTTCAGTCATTTTTGGTTCGTCTCTGTTGAGGAACAAAGTGATTTTTTAGATATTGGATATCATTTTTGAATAATTAGAACTAACAAACGCAAATGTGTTCAGTAACGATTGATAACGATTGAAATATTATTAGCTCAATGTTAAAAAGCTGGTTCGATAAAAACGAACATTTAAAAATAGTTTTTTTTTTATTTTTCCTTTGGTTTGTTTTTTCCGTCGATCTTGTTTTCCGTGCTGAGCACCAATGCTACCGACGTGCCAGGAAGGCAGCTCCCACACCTGGACCCTACCTATCGACCCATCAACTCATGAACCGGGGACCAACGGCTTTACTTCCCATCCGAAGGAAGGCGTGATCAGAGATTTTATGCCTCAGAACATCCCGGCGGCGCCGACTGGGATTGAACCCAGGCCTGCTGGGGTGAGAGGTAATCACACTTACCACTACACCACCGGCGCCGTTATTTAAAAATAGTTGCCGAAAGTAAAACCTTTTAAAACTTTTCCTTTGTGTCGCACAATTTCCCGAGCATTTTTGCTCATATTTATTACGTGTTCTCTGACCCCTTCAACAAAGGACGCATAAAAACAATGAATCATATTGTCGAGCAGTTTTCGGACGACCTTCTACCATAGATTTTAAGAAAATGAGGCAATAAATTGAAGATTTATTAGGCATATCCTATTTTTTCGATGTTCTAGAAGAAAGAATCTTATAATAATACTCCGTGGTTCGAGCGGCAGAAAACGTCATTTTTAACTGCTCAAATGATGGAACACCAATAACTTATCATATTTTCTAGCAGATTTGGGACGACCTTCTAAAAGAGATTTTAAGAAAATGAAGCAGTTAATTCAAGATTTCAGTGCCAACATTTCAAAGGGGCGTAGTTGCTTTTGTAAACAATGACTTTAGTCGTCAATTTCTCGCGAATGAAATCTTACCTCTCCAAAATAACAATGCTAGCTGGTAGAGGAAACATTCTTCTACCTTCTGGTGTCATTATTTTTCATGAGTGAGCTTTTATTCGCGAGAAATCGACGGCTAAAGCCAGTGTGTACAAATGCAATTACGCCCCTTTGAAATGTTGGCACTGATTTGTCAAGCTTTGTATTAATAAGACCCTATTTTCTTGAGGTTCTTGAAGAAAAAATTTCAAAATATTGTTCCACTGCATAGTTTGAGTGATGGGAAACCTCATTTTATACTGCTCGATTGATCAATATCTAATTTTGTCTGTGATCTAATGGAAGTGGGGACAACAACGCCGAAAAAAATACTCAAGTTTTTTTTTTCAGCTGGTCAAAATTTATGATTTTTATTTTCACTTTGAAATAAAATGATAGGGTAGAGAACTACTTCGGCATAAGCGCCCATTTGGGGCCTATCAAGCAGAAAACATAAAATAAAACCACGATTTTGGCATTAACAGGTAAATTATGCTTTTGGTACGATACTTTAGTTTAAATGCTACCGAACGAAGCCAATAAGAACGCGTGTTATCAATGTTTCCACCCAATATTCTGACAAAAATGAAGCGATCCGACCGCATCAATCTTTATCTTCGTCCGATAGGCCAAAGTGAATTAATTGGCGTTTCAATGGTGTTTCAATGGGTTAGGCCGAGTTTAGAATCCGTAGGCCGAGTTTGGCGTCAAAAAACAGTGTTAGACTTTTAACAATATCTCAAAAATTTGTTTCTCCGTATCAAATTTTACGGTACGTATGGAAAGGTAGCTGGGATAGTTAACCCTATTTTGCGATTTATTTTTCTAGAAGAACAACGAGAAAAGTAACGAAAATGTGTGGGATTCACAAAAAATAACAATTTTTTGGTTCAGTTTTGTGAAACCGCTGTAAGAAAATCTCACCAAAAATGCTTGGTTTTTATGCTACAAAATTCGGATTTGTTCAATCAAGATCATAAAGCCAAAGATAACATAAAGCTGTAAGTTATCTTTGATAAAACCTCAGTAAAAGTTATGTACAGCAGCCAGTAGAAATTTCTATTGAATGATTAATTCCCAAATTCCAGTTTTGTTTCGCACCGTTTGAATAACCCTGGCACGTGGGATAAAATATTGCAACACGCGCACTTTTCCATTCCTGTCGGTACAATTCGGTCGGACGAACTGACCTGAGCCGACTGCCGTTTTCTGTTTTGTTCTCTCCCTTCTCCGTTATATTTCCATTCGTGTTTTCCCCGACTATCATTGCTGACAACGTTCTGCAATGAAAATTTTGTGAATTCGTTATTTACATCAGTTGAAACTAGCTAAAATTGCGCTCAATCACAATGGTAAGTGCCCAAACTGATGAAAAGGATTTAAATTTGCACAATTTCCTATCGTCCGGTGAGATTTTTATGATTTTACTGCGGCAAAAAACGTGAATTTCTCCAACAAATGGCGTCGCAGGCGTGACGCACGAGCGCAACATTTGACAGTTGACAGCTATCGATTGGTGTTTGTTGTGTTGGTGAAAATGAGGGGAAAAAATACCAGAGCAAAACAAACCAATGCAAATGCTTTTGTGTTCCCGCTTCTTATTGGAATTCGATATACGTACAGAGAATGCTTGAATTTCTGCCAGCTCTGTTGAGGAATTTAAATTTAAGAAAATATCCACAGCATGTATATTAATAATTCTATAAATATTATAAACTTGCCATTACCAGATGCTCAGCGAAGGAGCAGTCGTCCTGGAGGACCTGCACCAGCAAATAGAGGAAACCATCCACTACTGCTACGTGTGTAACATACCGGTTTCCAACACCACCAACAACCTATGCCATCTGTTCTCGATCATGAGCGAGGAAGACGAAGCTCTAAGTCCGGCCAACATTCTTGCCAATATGCTTCAGTTGGACATAACGCCGGAACTTTCCCACTCGCAAGCAATCTGCATTCAATGTAACCTACTTTGCAACGAGTATCAACAGCTGCTTGATCGATTGGATTCCATCAAACTTCAAGTGACCGTTAGCTACAACAGTACGGTTACCAAGCTGGCAGCTAGCTTAACGGCTAAGGAACTGGTTGAAGCAGAAGCCGAGGCATTGGATGATTCCAGCATGTCCCAGGATCTTGGGCTAACAGATACTGATACTGATATGGTAAGATACATTTTCTACCACTACTTCATTGAAATTTGATTAAATAATTGGTTACCTCTCAACAGATAGCGATTCCACTGGGCGATCTTACGGGTGTTGTTCCAGTCACATCCGATGTTGCAATAGAGTCCGACTCAGAAACTACCACCGAAACCATTATGCAGCGAATGCCAAAGCTTCATCTTATTCCTCGACAAACCGAACCCTCGGAAGCACTTTCCCCATCGAAGAACAATTCTCGTTCAATTATAAAAGTTCTACAAAATCCTATATCCAGCCATTCAACGGGCACTTCCATCGAAAGCGACATCGACATATGTGAGGTTCCCTCGACGGCAATCACAATGGAACAGTTCTTCGACGGTGGCGACGGAAACATGGTGGAAATTATAACCGATGCCAACTCGACGGACTACATTTACGAAAATGTGATCGAGACCATTGGTGCACCGGAAGATGACGATCCCGGTGAAAGCGAGGATGAAGCATGCAGCTCAATATTGGCCCTCGAAGGAGGCAGCTCCACGACTGCAAAGATGAGCGAAGGCGATCAGCTGGTGGAGAGTCATTCGGAAAAGAGTTCGGAATTTACTATATCGGAGCAGGCCTTCGGACAGGAAGCGGATCCCGACAGTGCTCAGATCTTGATAGCCGCGGCGAACGAGAGCCTGAACCGCATGAAGGCCAAGCTGGAATCGGTGAGTTATGGATATTTTTTATATTTAGAGTTCATGTCCCAACTGTCGGCCGTAGTGTCCCTAATATTGAACCCATACATAAATTTTTAAAGAAAGCATTTGTTGACAATGTTTCTCTGGCCACCAAAAATATCCATCCATTTGTATTGTCATTCTTCTTCTTCGCATTTCAAACTTATTGCTTATCGCAAATTAGCTTATTGCGTGCTCTCAACTTATTAATTGAGAGCTTCCGATGCCTGTACCATTTTTGCATTAGTATAATTGTGTGGCAAGTACAATCCTACTCTAGGCCCAGAGAAATCGAGAAATTTTCCAACCCGAAAAAAAATCCTAGACCGGATCGGGAATAGAACCCAGCCACCTCCAGTATAATCTTGCTTTGTAGCTGCGCCTTTACCGACTGAGCTAAGGGAGGCCTTTGGATTGGTATTAGAAGTCTTTTTCTATAACAAATTGCGGAATTCTGGCATCAATACAGCGTTGATTATATTTCAGTTATTTTAATAAATAGATTATTTATTAGTTCGCTCTTCGTAGAAAATTAGTGAGGATTATTTTTCATATTTTACCTCTTATGTCAGAGGCTCGTCAATGCCATATTTAGGTTGCCAGTTATGCTGTTATTACACCTAAATTTGATATTTATAAGCTATTTTCTCCTGCTCGGGATGCTCTCCTTAACAATATAAAAAAAAACTAAGTTTGGCTTTCTTTCCAATAGAGTTTAACTTGTAAATTGATTGAGTTGATATTCTACATATCTAACATACTGTACTGAGAATTTATTGCGTCCCTTACGTATTAAGCGCGGGCGTCAAATCGAGCTGTTCTTGTTAATACACAACAGCAATTTGTCAAACTAGATAGATTATACTGTCACGTTTACGTTACATTAAAATAGATACATAAGCTAAATCCTTACTTGCACTAGCACACAACAGCTCGGAAATTCCCCAGGTGCCGCCAGTGGCAAACCGCGCGGGCACTCTAGGGTGAGGGCGAAACTCAAAGCTTCACCCGGACGTACCCCTAGGACGAAGCGGTCGCCGTCTGTCGGCTGCTCTTGTTCGATCCCATCGAGCGAGGCTTCGGTTGCAAATTGGTAGCCATGTAGACGATGAGCATGGCCAGCAGCAACCAAACCGGAATCATCATCGCATACAACGGAATGGAGTTGTATTCCAGCTTGAGGCAGATGGCAATCTGCGACAGGATTTTCAGCAGTATTCCGGCCACGTAGTACTCGTAGTGCCGGAAGGAGATCAGTCGATTGGCGTGCTGCCGTTGGATGATTTCGATTACGACCCACGTTATCAGGATGGTGTCGTATAGCCAGAGGGGTATGAAAACGATGAACCAGTTCCAGTTAATGCGACTTTCTAGCCGGAGACACAGCAGAATCAGGAACACCAGAATGATGAACCAGGTGAAAAGTGCCCGCTGTACGAAGCCCATCGTGATGCTTTGTGCTGGAAAACAATCGAAATCAGGGGCAATTTTCGATGGATTCCAAGGGCAATCGAATACTTACCAGTATTGAAAGCTTTAAAATGGAATGCACTCTACAAATGTTGCTGTTTTTATCGATTTATCTGCATTTCTTTGGAGAAAAACTACGAAGCAATGCGAAGTGTTGATGTTTACAAACTGGAATGCAGCCGCAGAATGCACTCAAAATTGACAAATGATTTCCAATTGGAATCGTTTTGTCCGTTGGCAGCACTTCTCTCGTTTGTCGGCATAGCGTGAAATATTTCATTTTCGATTCGTTCTTTGAGGCGCGAAGTTTCTTCGAACGAATTTGGTGCACAAAGGCACGTGGTGACTTTTTCGTATGACTAAAGCAATTTTGCAAACCATGCTAATTTTACCCGTAACAAAGACACTATAAAAAACACATTGTTATTCTATACTTCCAGCTTCCATGTCACCATTCACAGAACTGAGGTCCTTAAATAGATTCGCATTTTTGAAACACTTTAGTTTATAACAAGAATTTGTCAACACTGCAATTGATTTAAATACCTAGTAAATTTATATCCATCCTCCCTTCTCCACTAAAGCTGTTCTTCAAAACCAATGACAACTACTACTGCGCTCTGTGCAACGCCAACGGTGGCCCATCGACGGCTCACAACGTGAAAACCGTCGCCATCCATCTGAAGAACGACCACAACGAAAAGATCCTTATCTGCGAGCACTGCGATGCGGTGTTCCGCCGGCGTACGGAATACAACCAACATCTGGACCACCATGTGGCCCAGGAGCTGACCGATTTCCGTTGCGATGTCTGCCAGACCAAGTTCAACAACATCCGGTCACTGCGAATGCACCGCAAGAATCACGTGGCCACGCCCAAGGTGTGGTCCTGTGAGGTCTGCGAGAAGAAGTACAGCTCCAAGAATCTGCTGGACGAGCACATGAACATGCACTCGGGTAAGCGCCCGTTCAAGTGTTCCCTTTGTCCGAAGGTAAGCGCCCCAACTAATTCTGTTATCAATGAAACAATTAAATAAAATATAATCCCATCAAAACAGGACTTCGCCTCCAAGTACACCCTGACGGCTCACATGAAGATCCACCAGGATCGGGAGCGACTGTACAGCTGCAAAGAGTGCAACAAAGGCTTCTACAGTCAGAACAATCTCCTGCAACATGAGAAAATCCATTCCGGCGTGCGGGATTACTGCTGTCCCGATTGCGGGAAAACCTTCATGTCCCAACACAATCTGGACATCCACAAAATCGTCCACCTCAACTACAAACCCTTCATCTGTCGGACGTGCGGAAAAGGATTCGCCCGGAAAGCGGAAATCAAAGACCACGAACGTACTCACACCGGAGAACGTCCGTTCGTTTGCGACATTTGTGACGCTAGTTTCTCCCAGCGGTCTAACCTACAATCGCACAAACGGGCAACGCATTTCAATGACAAACGGTACAAATGCGACATCTGCAGTCGGTGCTTCAAACGCCGGCGGTTGCTGGATTACCACATCAAGGCATGCCACACCGGCGAACGACCGTACAAATGCGATGTCTGCTCGGCGACCTTTGTCTACCCGGAGCACTTCAAGAAACATCAGAAGATCCACACCGGGACGAAACCGTTTGCTTGCGAGGTTTGCAGCAAAACCTTCAACAGCCGGGACAACCGGAATGCCCATCGGTTCGTGCACAGCGATAAAAAACCATATGAGTGCGTCACCTGTGGAGCGGGATTCATGCGAAAACCCCAGCTGTACTCGCACATGCAACAACGGGGCCATCTCAACGATACAATCGTGGTCAACCAGCCGAGGATAACGAGCGAGGATATGCTGGAGTTTGATACCACCACTGACTCGATAGGAGACCCGGTCGAGTTCGATACCAAGGATGGAATCATTCTGGAGGAAGACGTTGACGGGGAGCATATTCTGATGAGGGATGAGGTAAGTGTCCGTGTGATTTCCTGTGCATCGAAATTATTGAAAAAAAAATTGTATTGTTCCAGTACTATATCGAGGAAGAAGATATCGAAGAGGAGGAAGAAGATGAAGAACTACACACGGTCATAGCTGGTACGAGCAGCAGCAGTAACAGCCAGACGGCGACTCAGCTGCACCTTCCCGATGCGGTGGAGCTCTCGGAATCGACAGCACTGCTGGCGTCTAGCGAAGGGTTCATCGAGGAATCCGACATCATTAGTCATGAAGTCGATGACGAGGGGCTGCAACTGGTGAAGCTGAAGATTACCAACCCCGACGGGAAGGAAGGCATCACATGGGTCAATTTGGTTTCCCAATGAAATGTGGGTTGAAGATTTGGAACATTTGGGTACCTAGGTACTTCCAAAGATAGCTATTATTATAATAATAGGTAATGAAAGTGAAGAATTCGGCTAAAAGTGTTGAAATGCTTTAAAGTAAGTAAGTAGTTTGTCTTATGATTGAAGCATCCGAAAACAATAGAATAGGGTTCGGTCGGAACCGGCTAAAAGATGAGTCATATTTGTGGTATAATGCCGAAGTCTGATTCGAAACTCGCGATAGCAGTTATGCATAGCGTGTCTTTATGGTGTGGATAATCGCCTACTGAGTCAAATATCAAGGGTTTACTTCCGTACACGGCAAGAAAAAAATACTCAATACACCTTCACAATGAGCTTGCCCGTCGTGACAAATAAAAGTGCGCGATTAGGTTAAGTTACCGACAAACCGACATGAAACTAAAACTTAAGTTTTACTCGAAAATCTATAACGGCCGATTGATACGTTTATTTTATCCAGATAAAAATAGTTTGTCCATAATAGATCGGACACGAACCAACTCATGAATTTTGCACGCGTGTTCGTGGATTAGCTAAACGATTTCTACGAGCATGGCGACAGATGTCGGTAGTGTTCTTTGAGCAGAAATTCTATGGTTACTTATAGCGAATTCGTTTATTATTCAGTTCCAACCTGGATCGGGTATCAGGATTGGGTCTGCTTGTTTTCTGACAAACGTCAGTTTGCTCGTTTGTTTTTAAAACCTAGCTCAGGTTTCGCACTGACAAAAAGTTCGGTTTCGCACTGGGTTGGAACTGGTTCCAACCCCGATAATAAACGAATTCGCTATTAGTCATTCATGACAGTTTGTCGGTGGTTAAGTCACCAAGATGATTCAAACTAATCATGCGCTTTTATTTGCATTATCACCATCACATGATCCGGATGCAATCACATCCGTATTCAGAAGTGACGCGATGGCACTTATCCAATTCGCTTCCCCATTGGCCGTCTTTCCATGGGTAAAGTTAACAATATTCTGGGGCTTTTTCTTGGCAGAACTCCAAACCTATAGGAAACGATGAGTCCCTCAGGACCAACTAGACACACTCAAACAATCCGTGCTGGGAAGACAGCTGCACACCAACTGCGATTCTTCCACAATCTTCCAGATCAAGCGAAAGATTTACCGTCTTCTGCGGCTTTGTCGCCGACAATCGTTCCCGCTCGACCAGGTCCCACCGGACAATGATTTCATTCATAATCGCCGCCTACAGAAACCGTTTATCGTCAGTCAAACACAAACGCATAGGTGACAGCTGCTGTCAACTACAATTGATTTCGATTAGTGTATTTGACCTTTTCTGCCCATATCAGCATAATTGCCAGATTTGCTTGATTTCCTATTCATATGGGACAGTTATGCTTTTATGGGCAGTTTTGTCCATTTCAACGTCTTTTCTATTTCAACCTTATGTCCATTTCGACCTTTTTTTTCATTTCGACGTTTTGTCTTTACAAACTTTTGCCCATTTCGACCTTTTGTTCATTTGACCTTTTGCCACCGACAAACATGAATGACCATAGCAAAAACAATAAAATTTCTGACCAAAGCACACAACTGACATCTTGCTCCGTATTCGCGGGAAACATTCAGCTAAGCCATGAATTCGCATGCAAAAGTTATGATTTGGTTCGTGTCTGATCTATTCTGGACAAATTATTTTTATCTAAAAATCCTATGGTTTTGACAGTTCGGATCACTGCACATTTAAATCGACCGTTTACGATTTTTGGGCATAAGTCAGAATTAAGTGTCATGTCGGTTTGTCGGTGCTTTTGCCCCTTCAACCATTTATCCATTTCGACCTTGTGTCCATTCGACAATTTGTTCGTTTAAATTTAATTCGACCTTTCGTCCTTCGACCTTTTGTCCTTCGACCTTTTGGGTTGATGCATATAATATTATGTCACGCTCTAATGGGGGAGGGGGGTTCTAAGATTGTGTGACAAGCAATGCATTAGGTATAGGAAAAACGTGACGATAGGGGAGAGGGGGGGTTATTGTTTACTCGATTTAGCGTGACATAATTAATGCATGGGCCCTTGCCAACGACCAAATAGATGGTTCGTCAACGGCAGAGCAATTAGCGGCGCCGGTGGTGTAGTGGTAAGCGTGATTGCCTCTCACCCCAGCAGGCCAGGCCAGTCGGCGCCGCCGGGATGTTCTGAGGCATAACATCTCTGATCACGTCTTCCTTCGGAAGGGAAGTAAAGCCGTTGGTCCCCGGTTCATGAGTTGATGGGTCGATAGGTAGGGTCCAGGTGTGGGAGCTGCCTCCCTGGCGTCGGTAGCATTGGTGCTCAGCACGGAAAACAAAACAAAGAAAAAAAAAACGGCAGAGCAATTGTTAATAATTGTTGCACGAGGGGCGTAATTAATGTACAGTCGAATTTCGCTCGTTGGGCTTTGTTTAATTTCTAGCATTGCTGATTCCTTTTCGAGGGGCTATTGGATGAACAATTTGGAAAGTCGCTAAACGATGTTGATGAAAATAAACAATCGGTGTATCCCTCAACAAATTTTCAGTTTGACAGCTCAAGGTGGCCCTATCCTAAATATAAGTTTTAATAATTCTTTAACAACTTTATGTCGATGCAACGATAGCACAAAGATTTTGCCTAATATCTAGGACCAAAAACTGGAGCACTAGTGCCGTAACTAGCTCACTTACCCTAATTACCCCGTACTTAATATAATTAATAGTACCCAAAATGTAATTAATGGAATTGAAAGTGTAGTTGACATACTTTAGCTACGAAAATTCGACTATAATTGGGTTCTTTAGGGGTACTGAGGTTATTGAATATTCGTAATCTGCATGTCAAATAGAACCGAAACCCAAAATTTTATCAATTTTGGAGCACTGGATCTATTTTCAATAAATGTGTTTGAATTAGCAAATATCAACATCTTAGCGCCCTTCGGTTGTACTTTGTATGGGAGCGAGTTGTCAATTTGTTAGTTTTGTGTCAAACAGTGAAGTGATTATTTTACTTTAAATCTTGATTTTAAAATCGAGATGCAAGTTGATGGGATCGAAAAAAATATAGTTTTGCTCAGAAAACGAAGCTCTTTCAGGTGATATATAAAAACCGATAATTGTTTCAAAATTAAAGAACCCAATTATAAGAAGAAAAAAAGTAGTTAACTGTTGGCAGGGTGTAATTAAAGTGACTAAAACTGTTTTTTTTTTTAATTCAATTACAGCTCTTGCTTGCATCGGAGTTAGGTTAAGTTAGTTAGTTAACAGCCATTGACTGGTTCGTCTCTGGGGATCTTTGATGGGGGTCTCGGGAAGGAGGATGGGGCCCTAGAAAGGGGTCCCCCTGAAACAGAGTTGTTTAAAACAGAGTGTTGAATGCTGTCTAGTTTGCTAGTAGGAAGAGTCATTGGTTCTTTGCGGGTGGGTTCTGGGTTGTACCGTACATCTGTTGGGGTCAGTAGTCCGGGTTTTGGTGCGCATGGATCTTGGTTATCTCATTGCCCATCACACAATTGTAGCTGATTAAAGGCTGAATAAGCCATTTTTTTAACTGAAGAAGCATATGTTTGCCTGAATAAGCTCTTATTATGCTTCCAGTGTTTGTTGAGTGGTAAGTTTAGGGTCGGTAATCCGGGTGATGGTGCGGGTGGTCGGTCCATGATGAAAAGGAGGCTACCACCGGTATCTGGCTTGAATGAGGGGTCCGCTGCCGCACTGCCGAGCACCAAAGTGGTAGTTCTCAAACTAAGTGGAAGAGTTCTGCCTCTTTAAGAAAACCTAGTTTAGCAGCGGTCCGGGTTGCGTCATTGTTGAGCGCGTCTTTTACACTGCTTGGAATCCTATAAAGTTCTCTTGCTCCCTGGTATTGGGGGCAGTGACTCGGACACTATTGCGATGAATGTGGCATAGGGAGCAGGTCTTGTGGAAATCACCGTTTCCACTGAGATTATGGGAAAGGCAAGTGTGGCCAGATCTTAGGTGGGAGAGGACAATTTGAAAGAGAGATGTTCTGCTGGATCCTCGTATTTGCCCATGTCTCCTTTGATTTTCCGGATGAAGAGTTAATCCAGTCCCTTCCCAAGTGATGCTAAAAATCCACTTTTTGAGGTCTGGACCAGGGACTTTACGCGTGTATAGGCACTTAGACTTAGCGGAGGAGGAGGCGAGGCGATCAGCTTCCACATTGCCCTGAATTCCGCAGTGGCCGGGTATCCAGGCGACAGTAGTGCCAGATGGGGCACTCGAGAGGATAACCTGTGAGTGGGATGTTCGGCATCAATAGCGGTTACAACACTGGCTGAGTCGGTGAAAAGGACGATTGGTTTGCTTAACGGAGTGTAGATGGCAAAGAAAACGGCGGCGGCCTCAGCCGAGAACACGCTGCACTGGTCTGCGAGGCGATAACAAACCCTAGCTTCGGGGCTGGACATCCCAATGCCGACTTTACCCTGGGAAAGTGATCCGTCAGAGTAACGTAAGCTATATCCTTTGTATCGGTGTTCGATTAGGTTACGGTGGGTCTAGGTAACGGCAAGGGGGTTGGAACCGGGTTTCATTGTCTGATCGATGGCTATTTTGGTCATTTTCCAACCCCTGGCTCCACACGAGTGGACCCAGGGCACTGGGTGAGGATCTGGTTGGCAGTTCTGGTAAGGAGTTGGTTGGCCTCCTCGAGGAGGGACACTCCTTCGCTAGAACCCGTAGTCTTCTCAAGGAATCCGATTGTCCGGCGGCAGATGGTCATTTCGATAAGTCGGTCAAAGGGGAGTATGCCACCCTCAACACAGGCAGCTAAACCAGGGGTGGATAGCAGTAGACCGGAGTGTAAGATTCGCATTTCGGTTTATCTTCCTTTTCGACGATTAGGTCCGAACCCTCTTGATCGATCAAATATCAAAACGCGATATGAGAAACGCAAACACATGCAAACACTATTGTAATGCTTGATCGAGAAGTATATAAAAGCTGGAATATATCAGTCGTGATCAGATTGACGACAACTTCCAAAGTGATTATAAAGCGAATTTAATATAACGGAAAGAAAACTTTAAAGTGACGACGAGGATAAATTGAAAGATATAGTGAAAGTGATAGGAAGGACTGAACAGGGAAAGTGATAGGAAGGACAGCACAGTGAAAGTGATAGAAAGAACAAGCAAAGTGACGATCCAGTCGTTAACGACACCATTACAACATTCGGCCATTTCGTTTGGTGCGTGTTTAGTGCTATTGAAGCGACACGTTTTTTCTCCCCGGTTAATCCCAGCGATCGGTTGTGCACGGTACAGGAGGACGTGGGGTTTTATAATCCAAATCATCGTCGGTACGTCAAGCATTCTACGGGCCGGGCCGGTAGACGGTATCCCAGTCGATTTATCGGAGAAGCAACCGATCAGCAGCAGAAGCAAGATTTCAACCTAGGAACGTGGTTGCAAGAACAAAGAAGATCTCGTTGGGGAGCCATCTGATCTCGGCCCACAAGGGGCAGATTAGACTGGTCAGTCAAGATGATCGTCGGCGCAAGGTGGCGCATCGTTCCGTGGTGGAAGCGGAGGAAAGACGTGGAACGAAGAAGAGGCGAGCTGAATCCGAGGATTAGTGTGCTTTTCGGGGGTTTCCGCTTTCACAGTTACAATCACCCCCAGCATTAAGCTAATTTCATCCTCAAGCATTAAGTTCGGATCCTCCGAAATCAAAACGAAAAGCTACATATTGCCCGAGGGATACTGATAACGAGGCTGATAACGAAGTGAGAAGGTCGGCCCGTATCCGGAAACAGAATAATGATGAAATGTTTGTGTATTACAAATAATCGAATTTTACTTCAAGATTGTTGTGGATTGCAGAAGAATACCTTTGTTTATTATTATCATAAGTTAGATTAACAATTCTGAATTTTAGTAATTCATTCGAAGATAAGAATCTTAGCTAGTAGAATTAATTCGTTATTAATTACATAGATTTATAATAATTCCGTATCAGATTTTGAACGTTATGGGGGAAGGTATTGTAAGATTCGCATTTCGGTTTATCTTCTTTTTCGGCGATTAGGTCCGAACCCCCTTGATCGATCAAATATCAAAACGCGATATGAAAAACGCAAGCACATGTAAACACTATTGTAATGCTTGATCGAGAAGTATATAAAAGCTGGAATATATCAGTCGTGATCAGATTGACGACAACTTCCAAAGTGATTATAAAGCGAATTTAATATAACGGAAAGACAACTTTAAACGGAGGTGATGCGGATAGACAGTAGATAGTTTTTCTACGAGGGTCTATCGTGCCATGCACGTGAGTTCGATTCCGTACGTTAGCCGGGAGTCGATGATCGCCTTAGAGATATGGATTCGTAGGTGGCGGTTGCAGTCGGGATGGCGTCTGTTAAGGGAGTGGAGTAGGTTCAGTCGAGTTTGGCAATTGGCCTTAACGTCATCGAAGTGGGCCTTGAAAGAAAGGCACTCCGAGGATTTTGACGGTGTTTCTTTGCGGTATAACCTGGGTCCCAATCATGATGGGTGTGGACAAAGACCGGTGGCCATGGGTGCAGATGTGGGTGAACGAACTTTTCTCCGCCAACACCTGGAATTCGGAACCAGATGCCCAACGATGCACAAACTTGACGCCCTGGGCCAGTTTCGTCCGGAGGATTTTGATAGTATTGCTGGCGACTATAATGATGATACCGTCGGTGTAGACGAAAATAAAAATGCCCACTGGGAGATTGCAGAATACACCAGTCATACTGACAAGAAGGTAACCGCCAGTACCGATCCCTGAGGTACACCGGTTTCCAACGGCATCCAGGTGCGGTTATAAGCTTTAGAGATGTCTAGTGCACCTATCTCGACGTGTTGATCGCCCGCCATAGCATCATGGGGGGCTTGCCCAAGCGTACCAAAATACGTATTCATTCCGTGACCGGGTCGAAACGCATGCTGCCGGTGATCTAACAAGTTGTGCTCATTTAAGAAGCTGCAGAGATGATGATTGATCTCTCCATAACCTTGGGCGTCGGAGTTAAGTTGATACGGTCTGGAAGCCATCGCTCTGATTCCACTTCGCATTTTCTAGAGCATAAATATCAATATAAATAAAACAATTTCCAAACTGCTTCCCCATGTTTGATACGACTCTATCTAAAATGCAGTGAATATTTTGTTTTGGTGTCGTGAGATGACACTAGATGAGGTTTGAGACATTTTTAGTTTGCACGGCGTGCATATTAGCGGGGTTCAAACTAAAAAGTGTTCAGATTAAGAACGGTCAGATTATCGGAGGTTCATGGTCAAATTTTTGATCATCGTGACAACCGAGGTTACAACTCTGTTTCTTAGCCTCTTGTAATGAATGTCATCAGTAAATATTTACTTCGTTTCCTGTTTCCCTAATGCAATGTTTCTATCCACAATCGCTTTTTCGTTTTCATGGTCAATTATGGCACAGTGAGCCAGAAATGCAATTTGGACGACAAATATCTCTTAAATGAAGCATTTCCGAGGTTTGACACTTTCGAAGAAATTTCTCGCTGTAACAAAAACTGTAAGCAGTTAGTTCGCAACTTACCCACATAGATGGCGCCAAAATATAACTAAATATATATATATAATACTCTGACATTGTGGAAACTCGATGGATTGGAAAAACTGTTTATCTTGAAAAAAATGAGCAACTCAACCATGAAGACACCAAAGTTCCGCAACCCACTGCTTCCGAGTAATTAGCAAAACAAAATCAAAATTGGACTGTCACAGTGTTGTACATGTAAAGAGCCTAAATTTATGTAAAACAGTGTGTAACATAATTATAGGCTAATGTATGAAGAGGAACAAAATTTTAATATAGTTAAACTGAATAATAATCATAATTAGATTATCTAGGGATTGTACACCCAACCGGTAAATGTAAGATTCCATTACAGATTTGCATGAAAAGTATGCATAATTTGCAATGTTTCGGGGCTTAAACAGATTTTGTAACGTGGTCGCCGGATGGTTTTTAAACTGATTTTGTAACTTTTATGTTAGCTTATTTTTCGAACAACAATTTTGAAATTACGCCCCGCAAATCACTAATGTTTTACCTAAATAAATGTCATCATTGCTGCATAATCATTTCACAAACCACACTACGATTTTATGTTACATTTTGGATATTGATAGATTGTCTGCGGAAAACCTATTTTAAACAAACTAGAAACACATAGGCAAGAAACGTAAAATTAGTTGCAAAATTTCTCCAAAAGAATAATTCGCGAGTTGTAGTGAGTTTTTGCGAACTTTTCCATCACTGAGCTGGACTATATGTCGTAATCTATATCGTAAGTAATCGAGACTTTTCAGTTATTCTGAAGTCCATACATCTGAGAAAAAAATAAAACCCGAAACTACTTAACCCGATCGAACTGGTTTTATTCCACCTAAATTTGATTTTTCCATGCCAAAAATTGTTAACTGAGTCAATGTTACCCTGTCATTGCACGTGACATTCACCCACACATCTTGACCCAGTAAAAGTTGATCGTGATGCATCCACAAAAAGGTAAATCCACCCAAAATCAAGTCGAAAGTTGTGTCCCGAAATTAATGATTGGCCGTCTGCAAGGACGCCTGGGTCCAATAAAAACAGCAACGGCAATATTAAGAAACTGTACTCGCCCATACGATAAAGTAAGCATTAAGTAGCTCCATTCAGCTTACGAGCGTGAACATGAACTTCAGCCCAAAAGAGGTTTGAGCTAGCGCTGCGAATTTCAACTCCCTCCCCAGTTGGTCAACCCACGTTGCACATAGTACATATCGCACTAGGCACAGTGAAGCGCGTATCGACAATCCATTCGAACCTACCCCTCACCAGGCAGCATGCTTGTAAAGCTCAGGTGTAACACAGGCGTGAGCGCGCACCGCGGATGGTTCTCTTTACAACAACATGTTTTCAATGCCACACTTTCGGAAATCCAGTTTTTTGTATTCGCATTGCATGCACTTTGCGGATTGCCGTTGCAAAGATCTCTGTAGATCTTGTCTCGAAGAATTCTTAGCCACTTAGCCAGCCTGCTGTAGCTCACTGCTAGTCATTACAACATTCGACTTGAATCGATGAGCGCGTATTTTTCTCGAAGCTTGATTGCTCAAGAATGTCCAACCAGGTCATATCTCCGGTAAGTAGTTGATTTGTTGATTGAAGGGCTGAACATTTATATTCTACCCACCAGGTTCTACCCTTCATGGGGAAGCTCCCGAGTGAAATGGAACCGGGATTTCGGATTCGGATTCGAGGAGTGATGAGTAGACCGAACGGCGATTGCCGAATCCATCTGCAGAGCGGAGAGTGTCTAGATCCAATGGATGACGTTCCGTTGCATTTGAATATCCTGCCAGCTACCAGAGAAATTTTGCGGAACAGCTACAGCTCAGGACGCTGGGGCCATGAAGAACGAGCCGCAAATAGTCCGATAAATTTCGACGAAGAATTCAATCTGGCCATTGGAGCCGATTCCGGTGGATTCAACATCGAAATCAATGGGAATCAGTTCACCAGCTTCAGTCATCGGTTTCCAGTGCAAACAGTGCGGGCTCTATTCATCACGGGTGGGTGTGTTATTCGTGCGGTGATTTTTGAACATTGGAATCCGACGTCAAAAGTGATCAGTGTTATTCCGAGTGCTCCAATGCTTAATCCACAACCTTCGTCACCGCCGATGGCAATTCCGTTTCAAATACCATCGTGGCCTCATGGAAATTTTCAACATTTCCCTTGCCCGCCATCGCCATTGTATCTACATGCTCCGTATCCCAGCTACAACAATCCGGCGATGTTTTTCCAGCATCCTATGATGAGTATGCCCGAATGGCACTGGGAGTGAAGGATGGTCGGTAATGTTTACGTTTTCATTCCTTTGCAGTGAATTTTCCTAGTGCAATACAGAAAAATGTCGATAGTGGATCGAACCTGCAGTACAAGATGACGATAACCGTTTTATGGGTGAGTAGAAACTAAGTGTACATTCAGTGTAACGTTCAATGTGTATAACTTATAAAAGGTGTTTCGTTTGTGAAAAACTTAAAATGCAATAATTTGCACTTAGCCAATATGACATTTTCCCGTCCCAAGAAGTCTAATAAATTTTCGCTATAATGATTGTTATGATTGAAAATGTGTGAGGTAAATGCTATATGAATATCTAATAGATTTACAATGCTAAGGTGATGATAATCGGTCAAATTATAAGAATTAACGGAAGTGGGTCAAGGGTTGGTGGATTTTCTTATGTTTCGAGAGGTGCATCGATTAGCTCGGGACCGAAGAGAGTACGAGAGCTGAGCCAAAAAGTTGAGCACGTTTCTTCGGGACCTTCTGGTCTTAGAGTTACCTCTATGTTATTACCATTGGAATTGCTTTGAGCATTATTCCATGAGCGGTGTTTTGCATTAAAATCACCAATAATGAAGAATTTAGACCTATGACGGGTAAGTTTCTGAAGGTCACCCTTGAGAAAATTCCTTTGTTGGCCTACGCATTGGAATGGCAAATAGGCATTTATAAAAGTAAGTTGTCCAAATTTTGATTCGACAGAATCTCCCAAAGTTTCAAAAACTTTGATTTTAAACGATGAAAGAATTTGATGTTTGATTCGTCTATGAACAATGGTGACAACGCCACCGCAGGCTCCTTCAAGACGATCATTTCGATAAATGAAATAATTTGCGTCCTTTTTAACCTTATGATGAAGACATCAAATCAAGAAGACTGGCTACTTTGCCAGAATGCAAGCGACAGATACAATAGCGCTGCGCTTGAGTGAAGGTGGAAGCAACGCATAGAAAAATTAGCAAATACACAAACCCTTCTTCTAAGGGTGTAATCTTTGCTATCAAATTCGTTCGAAGCATTTATCTTTGAGCGGCAGATGACGCGATTATACCTGTCTCATAGCGTTGGTATGATAAAATGGAAGAGTTGCCAGTCTTCTTGATTTGTTGTCTTCGCTTATGGTTAGGTTTAAGGAACGTTTCAGTTATATGATGATGATGATGGCCCACCACTAACCCCCGTACATGGGAATTTGTCTGGGATTATTTATCTATTTAGATAATTGTAAAAAGTCTACCATGGGAATAGATCCCATCCCCTCACATATGAGTCCAATACAGATTGCGTTGCTTCTGTAATACAATGTCATATGTGGCCCCGAGACGTTTGATCCATTTGGTTTCATCATCACCAGTGTACACTGGGCCAGAAATGCAATCTAGCGGAGCAGTAGGCTGTGGAGTTTTGACTTCTTCATAAAAGTTGTTTATTTTATCAAGATAAATAGCTTTGCCAGAGTCGTCAAGTCTTCAAAACGCCATTTCAATGCATTGCAAAAAGTTAAAGAAAAAATACATGCTCCACTAAAATGATGAAATCTCAAAAACACCAAAATATACCTCTCTCAAATTTTGATATTTTGTTTATCGAGTATTGCTTATTTTTGGCTGAAAATGTCAGGTTGCGATTTTTTGCGCTTTGGGAAATATTAAAGTTCAAAAGTTGTTGTTTTTTTCGGTTTTTCGACAATATCCTTAAAATTTTAAGCTTAAACCAGAATGTTTCTTCACAAAAGTTATTTATTCAATGCATTTGCATAAGAGAAAAATATAACTGTATATGATTGTCAGCAAAAAAACCGAAACAGAAAGAAGAAACCATATTTTCGACATTTTTTTTCTTTAAAGATTTATTTGTTTTGTCAACGTAAACAACTTTGGCGATGACATCAAGTCTCCAAAACGTCAGAGAAAGAAGTTAGATTGTGGCACCATCTTTGCGGAAGAGTTTTGAACTATTTGTTTATGTGAATAGATGGTCCTTATTGTGATGAGAAAATTTACCCAAGACACCGAGTCGCTGAAATGCTTCGTTTCGGAGTTATTAATTTTGCTCCGCTAGATTGCATTTCTGGCCCAGTGTGCAGTGACTGAAAAAGTCACATTTACACTTATTATTACGCTTCACTACATAATATTATCCTTCACAAATGACACATTTCATTTTAAAGACGTTTACACTATTTTCTTCGCGTAAGTCCCTAGGTAAAGAGTTTTACAGCTGTACCACAGACAAACAGACATAACTCTCGCAAGTTGTTCATAGAACAAGCATTTAACGGTCAATTTAAAAGTATCGTAGCTGGTAGTACCGCCACCTGTGACACGCATACTAAATTCCCTTGCGTTTGACGTTTACACACTACCGCCATTTGTTCAGCGTAGTGCCCACCACAGTGTACTCAACAGATGGCGGTAATGTTTTAGCGACGATGTTTTACAGTGAGAAATATTCAATGTGTTATGTCTGTTTGTCTGTGCTATTAGCGAATTCGTTTATTATCGGGGTTGGAACCAGTTTCAACCCAGTGCAAAACCGAAGTTTTTGTCAGTGCGAACCTCAACCTGAGCTGGGTTTAAAAAGCAAACGAGCAAACTGACGTTTGTCAGAAAGAATGATTTTCGCGTCGGGAATTTTTCGTGTTCAACCTTTAGATACACCGTAGCCCACACGATTTTGACATTTTTTGACAATCTGACACTTTTGGGCATACCAGCAGCGCTAAAACTAACGGAGGTACGACAAAAAAAGCTTGCTCTTTCACACATGCAGCGTAGTGCTGAATGCTAGAAAGAGTAGTCTGTTGCAGTCCACATCGTGTTCTTTTGCCGTGCGGATCTATTTGCTTTTGGCTAAAGGAAGTGTTACCATAGAGGTATCTCTAAGACAAGAAGGTCCCGAAGAAACGTGCTCAACTTTGTGGCTCAGCTCTGGTACTCTCTTCGGTCCCAAGCTTATCGATGCACCTCTCGAAACATAGGAAAAATTACGAACCCCTAATTTTATATGTCAAAATTTAATAGCAAATCAAAACAAACATTGTGTAGTACTAGAATTTTGACTAGATCCGCACGGACTTGACTAGATCCGCACGGCAAAAGAACACGATGTGGACTGCAACAGACTACTCTTTCTAGCATTCAGCACTACGCTGCATGTGTGAAAGAGCAAGCTTTTTTTGTCGTACCTCCGTTAGTTTTAGCGCTGCTGGTATGCTCAAAAGTGTCAGATTGTCAAAAAATGTCAAAATCGTGTGGGCTACGGTGTATCTAAAGGTTGAACACGAAAAATTCCCGACGCGAAAATCATTCTTTCTGACAAACGTCAGTTTGCTCGTTTGCTTTTTAAACCCAGCTCAGGTTGAGGTTCGCACTGACAAAAACTTCGGCTTTGCACTGGGTTGAAACTGGTTCCAACCCCGATAATAAACGAATTCGCTAATAGCACAGACAAACAGACATAACACATTGAATATTTCTGACTGTAAAACATCGTCGCAAAAACATTGCCGCCATCTGTTGAGTACACTGTGGTGGGCACTACACTGAACAGATGGCGGTAGTGAGTAAACGTCAAACGCAAGAGAATTGACTATGCGCGCCACAGGTGGCGGTACTACCAACTGCGATACTTTTAAATTGTCCGTTAAATGCTTGTTCGATGAACAACTTACGAGTGTTATGTCTGTTTGTCTGTGCTAATAGTTTAATGTAACAACAGTTTCAGTCTTCCTTGTTACCATAGGCCATTGTTCGAACTTTTCGTCGTACACGGCCTATCATCTTTTGCACGAGACCTGTTCCCACTTGTTTAGCTCCCAAATTCCAGAAACTCATTCTCAGTCGTTTGCTCAAGTTTGTCGAGGAAAACAACTTTATCCTTCCGGAACAGTTTGGGTTCAGGAAGGGGCACTCCACTAATCACTAGCTAGTACGGGTGATGAATAACATCCAAAGTAACAACGCTGTATCCAAGTCCACAGCTAATGGCCTTGCTAGAGGTTGAAAAGGCGTTTGACAATGCCTGGCACGATGGGCTTGTATACAAGCTTTGTTACTTAAACTTTCCTTTGCATCTTGTTAAAATCATCCGTGCAAATCCAACAAAGGTCGTTTAAGGTATTGTTGAATGGTTGTCTTTTAGACACGTTTTCCATCGCAGCAGGTTTTCCGCAAGGAAGTCTGTTGGGCCCATTGCTTTAAAGCATCTGCACTTCCGACATTCCTCCCCTTGGAGAAGGTTGCGTTTTTTTCCTATTCGCAGATGATACCGCCAGGCATGGAAAATCATTTGCATTCATTTCGTGCATTCATTTAGATTCATTTGCCCCTAACTTTTTTCATCAACAGAATTCCGCAAAATAGTGTATGAAGCTTTTGTAGGTTTTGTTATTAACTACAACTTTTGTCAACAACTCAAATCCGTATCTCTTATGTATGACGAACCAGAGCGAACAGAAGCCACTACTGTTTTTCAGTGAATGTATTTTACATTCACTGAAAAACAGTAACAAGTTCTGCCCGCTCTAATTCGTGATGCATAAGAGATACAGATTTGAGTTACAGGCAAAAGTTGTAGCTATTAACAAAACCTACTTAAGCTCTGCACATCATTTTGCGGAATGCTGTTGATGAAAAAAGTTAGCGGCAAATGAATGTAAATGATTGCATGAAATGAATGTAAATGATTTTCCATGCCTGGATACCGCAATAGCCGTCAAAGGAAGGATGCCTCGCGAAATAACGAACAAACTTCAACGATGCTTTGACACCTTTGCTGATTATGCCAACACGTGGAAAATCAAAATCAATGCCTCTAAAACTTAAACAATTATGTTCCTCCATCGGCAAGTGTTGATTGGTCTGCGGAACATATCTCGTGATGTTGTTCGATGAAAAGCTCCTCTTCGCAAGTAGAAAAAAAAACAGTAGTCAAGTGTTAGGTAAGGTGTATCCGCTTATTTGTCGCAGATCCCACCTCTCAAGGCCCAAGTAGCATTGCAGGTTTTATCGCGGTTTTATAGGATTCTACAAGTCAGAACCTTCATAAAAACCAAAATTGTTACTTGGAACAAACTGGCTGTCTAAAAACAAATTATAGCATCTGCGATCCTCTATGCAGCTCCGGTGTGGGAATCATGTGCACAGACGCATAGGAAAAAAAATCCAGGTTGCTCAGAATAGAGTGCTGAGGATGGTCCTTTATCGTCCTTTCGACACAAGAATTTCCGATCTTCATCTAGAGACGAAGATTCCAAAATTAGATTTTAAAATTGATAACATAAAGGCTAGGTTTGTGCAGAAATGCAACACATCAGAACATGCATCGATAAGCAATTTGTATATTGTAGGTTAGGTGCTTATAGTAGCTGTAGGTTAGTTGTAGTTTTAAATATTAGTTATAAATAGTTTCATTTTTCAAATTTCAAACGAACCAATTCAATTCGGTTGATTAACCGGTTTTACCGAATCCGGTTATACTGGCATTATCGTGCTGTTTTACAAAACCGAAATACCGGTTTTTGTACGATAAAAACCGGTATTTTCGATATTTTTGTTGGATTTTTCCAGCAAATTTCATTTTTTTTACATGTTTATCATAGTGACTGAAATATAAATAAATTAATGTTTGTATTATCAAAAACAAAAAAAAAACAAAAGAATAAGATAATTTACATACAATGACAAATGACTTTAGAGTAGATAGGGTTTAGTATAAGAGAGGAACGGACTGGCTGGTTTTGAGCCAAACGAACTGTCAAAGCCAGAGCCAATCGAGCAGCGCCTATCTTGATTACATTGGCAGTGTTGCTAGAATTCACCTAGGCATAGGTTTCCAAGGCAGTTTATTTCGAACCCGCTCCGCTCTTATACTAGACCCTCTTTACTTTGGAGTATTCTTCAAGACATCGCGGTCTACTTTGATAAAGCATTCGCTTGAAATTCTTCGTCTGTTGATTGATTTGGAAGACAACGGAAAACATGCATAAGCCCTTGCGAAGAGAGGAGCTGAATCGACTGGATGATACAGCTGATGTAGAGAATGATGGTTTGACCGTGAAGGAAAAATTTGAAGACGCTTGCAGCAGTCAAAGTTTGCAGCTTCCAGAACTAGCTCAGCGTCAACGTCAACAAACAGTTTGAAAAAGTTTTTAAACAAGAGTTTGCCTACTACGATACTGAGGGTTTGAAAGGCAAATATATGAAGATGATTTACGATGCCCTTTGTATTATCGTCCTACTTACTTCGTAAGATACGTTCTCGTTTGAAAGATAATACGATAAACGCTCTTTGCATTCTTTAATTTTACTTTAACGAACAAGCCTAGCATTGATGAGCGCATTTCTAACTGAATTATTTGCCGATAAACACATTTTCTTATAATTATGCAGTTTTTTTTATAGTTCCTCCTAATACCGGTTTGATCGGTTTTACGGGTATTAGATTTTTCAATACCGCAAAACCGGTTTGAGAAATTAGCCTCCGGTATTACCAACCCTAAATCCAACCAAGGTGAGAAATCTTTCAACAGGCCTGATAGGACTAGAAGCATGAATAATAATTTAAAAACTTTCAAATAGAATAAGTTAAAAAGAGCTATATGTGTCACTTGATAATTGAAACATGAAACCACATAACTTCAAGAAAAAACATCATTTAAAGTAAAAAAAAACACTGTGTAATCGATAAAAAAAAATCGACAAAAATTGATACGACCTACTGTGTGGTCGAAAAGGTCCATAAGATACATAGGTATCGGGTAAAATAAGCAAAATTCGACCATCATTGAATAATTCAATGTATTAACAAATTTCAAGTATCTTCTTACCATAGTTCATGTACCATTTCTAGGTTGAACTCTTATTTATTTTCCAGAAAATATGCTGCGTCCTCTTCAAAGTTCTTAAATACATCCTGGTCGCTCTGCTGGGCGGTTTCGGTGTGTACGTACTTTCCAAAAGACTCCGGCTGTGATTTGCGGCTGCAGCGGTTCTGTCACCCATATTTTCCATTAACATCACCCAAACACCTGGGTCCCCTCTGGGATGGTCAAATATATATATATATACAATTGGTTTTACTTTTCTTCACAAACTAACTTTGTACAGGTTCATCTTAAGTCTAATCTAGTAATTAATGATGAGGGAATAATAAACATGATACTTTCATCCATCTTTATTCGCTCGAAGTGTGATTAATGTGAAAACCATATCACGGTTGTACGACGTCTACTGATTCTTGGAAGGTTAGGGCCAACAGAGAACACAGTATCGCGCGTGTTGGTTACGTGATTCAATTAAGTTTAATTAGTCGCTGCAGCGTGGGATGGTTATGGCTTGTATTTTATTTTATTCGACAGAATGATGGCATTAGGTGGGCCATCCTACTTTTTATTCAGCTGCAGAATGCTTACAAAGTGTATTCTTCACTCACGCGACGACCAATTTGCAAAAGTTTTATCGATTTTCAGGTAAACATATAGAATACGGCATTACTGGTTAAAGGTATTCGCAAATCGTTGCTGTTGCTGAAATAAATCTGAAACCGAAGTCGGTGGATAACAGAAATAATCAATCAACCTTCATTGTCGATGACAATCCTGATCCTGGTCCTTCGATAAACTTTCCTTATAGCTTTTCACCCTATTGAATCGCCAACATGCGTGTTGGGTATGGAGAGCGTTCCATTCAATTTCAGCGAATCTGGTTGACCTAGCTCTTATCCGCATCTAATCTGATTTCTGGTAGTGTCGTTCGTCATTCATCATGTTTTTGTAGGAGGACCACCATCTGCTACTGACTAAGAAGCCGCGCTGAGAACATCATTAGTGAGTGTGTGATGACGTCAGTTGAGTCGCTTAAAGCAATTAGTTCCTGGAAATTCTGCCAATTTTGTTTTTTGAGCAGACGAGAGTGGAGATGATTTTCAGCTGAGTTCGTAACATCAATTGAAGGTATCACAAACATATTTTCCATACGTCCATTGGTTCAAGTGCACTAGCTCTAATCAAACCATCATCGGTTACAATTCATTTTGATTGGCAAGTGACTTGCATTTGATCGTAAATGATTTGCTTTGAAAATGATCCGGCGTCATCACCAGTCGTCGGTGTTTCTTTAAAGTTAAATACTTCCTCCCGTCATATGGCTATGCAGCCGACGGTACGTCACTACTCAGTCATCTGCTCAATTATGAGACTGGAATAATATTACAGTTCATACTGACCCTTCATTACGTACTTTGAGTTTCAAGTAAGACACAGACGTGAGATTTTGCGAATTTCAGATAGTGAGACTATCAGAAGTTGTATAAATTTTCGATGTGTAATCCTCTGAATTCTTAATGAGGATTTTTTCGAGTTTTATCAATGCGATTTATCAGTCTTAATATTTAATCTTAGGCCCTCTAAATCAACACAGCAAAAAAAATTTTTTTTGATATCACATCAAAGTGGATGCACTTCAATCATAGAGGTTAAAATATGGTGTAATATTACTTGCCAAAAAGGACAAAATTTTTATGACCATAAAAAATTACATGAGATTTTCGACATGATTGAAGTGCATCCTCTTGGATGGAATATCAAAATTATTTTTTTGCTGTGAAATGTTTCAGTTGTTTCCCTGAATGCTAGATGTGAGAATCCAGAAATTCAACTTTTTTTTTTCAAATCCCTCAGCCCAAGTAACAATTTTAGTTAAATCATATTCTTCAAGAATGCTATACAACTTTTGATAAATCGTGTAATGTAACTTGGGAGAACCAACAAGAGAACTTCCCAAAAGCCCTTATCTTCTTCAATGAACCTCGCTTAAATTTTCATTTCATCATTCAAACCCAAGACGCAATACCGATTTAATGACATTGCTTTCTGCTTTTATTTTTGGCCCACGCTTTCCAATCCCTCTTGAAAAAAAACAAGTTCAGCCCAGCCCGCATGTTCCACTACCTATTTCTCCTTGCTTGGTCTGCTTCCCGCTGAAAAACCAACGTCCTTCACGTGTCGTTCAAGGATATATGTATGATAGTATGATCGCTCCATCCGGCTTCCGTTCTACTTCCTTTGCGACGTCTACCTCTACACCATCGTTCGATGGCGCTCGAGCTATTTTCGGAAACTTACCACCACATTGCCGAGTACACACCTCTTTTTGCCTATTCCAGTCATTTTTGGCTTCTTGCTATATAGGGTAGGATGGTGCAAAACGCACCGTTTAAGCCTGGCGTATGGAAGCTAAAATCAAGAAGAAAGTAATGGCGTATGGTTCATACAAAAGGATGATTTTTCATGATTTTCAAGGTATTTTATAAATTGGTTCCAAAATGATAGCGGGGCAAAACGCCTGATTCATGGTGCAATATGCACCACAATATTGGGGCAAGACGCACGACAACAATGGCCACCAACATTGGGGTAAAATGCACCCCATAGAGGTTTTCACGTCTGGTTGTATTGGTAGGATATATGAGAGCGTGTTAGTGAATATCCGAGGAAAATACATAACAAATCGATGTCAAACTCATTTTGACAGATCCACTTTCATACATTTTTTACACGGATAGAAATCTCCTTATAGGTACCTTTTGGCAAATTTATATTGCTGATTATTCATAAAATGTATAAGTCAACTAATAAGCAGACGCCTTGCAACAAGTTAATGAAGCTCATGTGTCAAATGAAATGCACATACCTTTTATGCATTATTATAGGACCTATGTGGTTCGTCTTATGGAATGTATAAGGCTCGAGATAAGGCTGATGTTTTGGCAAAAATGTATAAGTGAAACACATGAATAAAATAATTGATTTTCGTTTCGTGTAGGTTAGCCAGAGGAAAATAATAAACAACTTTACACGGCGTGCACCCGCTAGTGTGCGTGCGTTAAACGTCACTAATCTCTATGGTAGACAAACCATAACTCATGCAAGTAGATAATGCAAAGGGATGCGGTATATCAAATGATTTTTCCTTTATGTTACATCAGAAATAAGGTCTCAATAGAATGTTAAACTGTAATTCATCAAGTAAAATATCTAATAAATATACGAAAAGTGAATTCGTTGTCCCTAATTTGGGCCCATGCATAAATTCAGCAATCGATATTTGCAATATAGACTGTTCCAGAAAGTATAAGCACACTTTCAAAATAACAAAAAAAGTTATGTTTTTTTAAGTTTTAATAGTTTTATTTGGCAAACCATATTTGTATTTGTATTTCAAATGATATTTTACTCTCGTTTAATCAACATATTTAATCATAGCCAAGACTCCTAACTTTTCCTCGAACATGACCCATTAGCTTCTGCACAGTGGTACTTCCCATCATTTTAACCACTTTTGGCCAATCTTTTTTGAATTTTTGGATGCCATCCGCTGCTTTTATTAATTTTCAAAGCTTTGCTTTGGTTAAAGCCCAAAAAGTCTCGATTGGCCGTGCCTCCGGGCAGTTCGGCGGATTCATGTCTTTCGGCACGAAACATATATTTTGACTTTTGTACCATTCTAAAGTGTCCTTTGCGTAATGACATGACGCCAAATCAAGCCAAAATACTACTTGACCTTTGTGCTGCCTGATCATCGGCAACAATCGCTTCTGGAGACATTCCTTAACGTATTTTTGAGTGTTCATCGTGTCCGTTGTGATGTACGGACTAGATGTTTTACCACACTCGCATATTGCCTGCCAAACCATAACCTTCTTACCGAATTTTTCGGTAAAAATTGCCTTCTCCGTTTCGGGGATGTCCTTACCTTCGCTTACAGTATAGAATTGTGATCCGGGAAGCGTTTTGTAATCTAGTTTCACGTACGTTTCATCGTCCATTATTATACACCCAGAATTTTGACACAATAACGAATCGTAGAGTTTGCGGGCCCGTGGTTTCACGGACGCGGCCTGTTTTGCGTTCCTTTTGGGTTTTTTCTGCTTCCGGTATATTTTTAGCCCAAGTCTTTCTTTGGCACGCATGACGTTACTTAACGAGGTCCCTAGTTTTTTCGCAACATCCCGAACGGAAGTCGCTGGTTTTCGTTTGTAGGCATCCCTGATCTTTTTATCGATATCCGGACTTACAGGACCGGATTTCCGGCCACTCTTCGGCGCATCTTCAAACGTACACTGTTCTCTATATTTTTTAATCGCAGTTCGTACCGCTCCGACGCTTACACCCTCTTCCTTCACCAATTTTCTCAAGGAGAGTCCGCTCACAGTGCCGGAGTAAGACCACGCATTTTGACAGGAAACACAAAACTGAGCACTTTTTTGATGCTATGTCATTCAGAAATGAGCAAACAAAAAGACGCAGCCAAAAAATGTTGAAATATTTCATTATATTCAAAGTGACCGTTAAAATAAGGTGTGCTTATACTTTCTGGAACAGTCTATAGCAACCAAAAATATCCATTAGCAACGTCCCAATAACGCGTTCATCTAGATAAAATTGATAAATAGCTGATTTTTAGCGATGGGCCCAATCTTAGATCCATAGGGCAACATTAGAGACATTTCCTCTATATGCTGTTAAAAGCTTAATTTTCAGTCGATGATTTTAGCAAATGCATCTGAGGAAAATCTATCGCTGTTTTTTCTATAAGTGGGCATTTTAACCCAGGGGTGCATTATGGGCTGTTCTCCCTTAATACAGGAACGTGTAGTGGTGGCAATCTTGATATTTTTTGGCAATTTTGAGTCGGTCCGTGTTCTAGAATGAATTGCGTCGTCGTCGTATGATGTGGTGAAATTTTCCCATAATCATCACCACCATCATGATAAGCAGCAGCCAGTAGTTTGTACTGGGAAAGCTCGGATGATGAGACGAATCATCGTCCTACGAGCTCCATGAGCGAGTATTGGTGTATGAATGGGGAAGTTCAATGACAGAGAGCTGTACAACATCGGAGGGTTGAGGTCATGGTGGGGTGAAGCAACGGCTTGGAAAGGTGGGTCATGGACGAGGCAGACCTGAGGACACATGCACTGG